TTTAAAAAACAGAGGGTACCATTTTATAAAACAGCGGGTACCATTTTTTCAAACGAGGTACAATTTAATGAAGCAAAAGGAACCATTTTATAAAACAGAGGGTTCCATTATTCGAAACCAGGTACCATATGGTGAAACAGAAGGTACAATTTCAGAAAACAGATGGTACCATTTTACAAATGCAAGGTAAATTTTACAAAAAAGCGTTTGCACAATTTTGGCGGTAACGGCAACCAACGACCCTCCACATCCCCCAGGATTTGAGTGCATAGCTGCAAAGATTCTTTACGGAGAAAATACGTTCCCCGCAGTTGCCTTGAGCATCATGCTAAGTTTTTCTACCTTGTGCCACTGGTAGTATCACAGTTAATCAAATTACATGCCATATGCTAGCTTTTTGGATTCACCCAACACCAAAAAATTTCTTTCTTTAAGTACGGGTTCCTTAACAAGCTCAAGTTTATTTAGCAGTTTTGCTTGGTTAATGTAATTTTGAATGCATGTCCAAATTAGCCTTTGCAAAAAAATCATATCTAGTGACTCGTTATTCATACACTGCGAGACCACCTAACATATGGTTGCAAGACGAACTGATTTGTATTGAAATTCCCCGCAATGCTGGACCCATGCCATAATTAGATGTTTGTAATAGATTGGGGGGGGGGCGAAATGTAATACACAGTGGCCTAAGGAATGAGGCAAAGGGGCGGAAGCCACCCCCCCCCCCCCCCAATGTAGTAGGACTGTATATCACGTTATGCTAACCTCGTTTTCACTTTTATATAACCTTTAGTTAATTAAAATCATTAGTCAGTTTATAGTCTCGTTATGAGTTGCACGATGCTTCTGTTTTTCTCTTCGCTCTGAGGACTATTCAATGTAATAGGTACAACTAGACCTATTATACCAATGCTCAGAAAGTTGGTATCTGAAAAAAAGGCAAATCTGCAATAAAAGTTTGAAAATTTTGAATGCTGTTCATCATTTTTAAATATTGGCTCACAATTTTGGAAAATCAGTTATTACACGTAGAGCTTCCTCGCTCTACGTGTAAGAACTGATAAGATCTGAATTGAGTTCTTACACAATTCAGAATATTAACATTAAAGGAACTGTGAAGGAAATAGACAGTTGGGGAATAAGGTCAGCCAGAAAAAGCTAGATATGACAGTTACAGTTGTGCTCCATTAGCAAAACATTGCCACGTAAAAAAGCCATAGCTTTCTCAAACGCATTAACAAGATCGGACATTTTCCCAAATTCTTAAGGGTGCCGTCAGCAAAAGTTTTCTGCTGTCGGACACCATTTTGCCCACAAATAGAAGCACAATTTGTGGCAAATGACGTGTACAGTTAATGGTTCATTCAGCACTTGGAAAACACATTGGTTAGGAGTTCTACTAGGCCAAGTTATCCCGATCTCTGCTTTTAAATACTTGACAGTTTTAACATAATTACGATGACTACACGACAATCTTTGCATGCAAACAGACGACTTTCTGTTGACATGAAAAAAGAAGGTAAAATACCTTTCGAGACTTTCTGATCTTGTCAAGGGCGTGAAACTCAGTTAAAGAATGGTTCAACAAAGTGCCGGAGTGTGCTGACAACAAAAATCTACTTTTGAAATATCTTAATTTTGACCACAAAGTCTGAAATAACAGCATAAAATACCTCTCAATGTGCAAAACAAGTTAAATGTGTTCAAAATTGGTTGAGATTTTGCCAATAAAACATTTCATTAACGGGTTACTGTTATTCTGGCTTGGTTGATAAAGTTATGAACCAAGACCAAATTACAAAGGTTTGATGGGAAAAGAACCTGTGCTCATGTGATATTAGCATCTCAGCCAGTTTGCAACATATTCGACTGATTTTGCACATTTCAGCATGATTAAGCACCGGGGCGGGGGCTTATTCGAGGGGGGGGGATTACTTCAAAGTTTAGTGTTTCCCCAAAGGTCAACAAAAAAACGACATTATTTTTGTAACAAATCTAACAAAGCCCATGGGGGCTTATTCGAGGGGGGGGGGGCTTATTTGCAAAAATGATTTTTTAGGTGGGTATTTGAGGGGGGGCTTATTCGAGCGTGGGGGCTGATACGAGGATTTACGTTGCAATATGATCAAATATTGAAAAATTCAATAAAAGGAATACTCTTTGGGCAATATGATCAAATATTGAAAAATTCTATGAAAAGATTTACGTGACGTCATCGCTCCCGAACTCTATAGCTCATAGAGATCTCTTTTAAAAACTTAAAAGCAGCTGTGATGAACCTCTTTTTCAAAGCCAAAAATGCAGCTGCTTATTACCGATGAAAGAATTTTTCCAAGCGAAAAATAATCCAACTAATGCATTGTGAAAATATTTTGAAAAGAAAACTTCGCCCATATATAATGCGGGAACAGAATTCTTTCACACATTTCAATTGCAACCATATGTTTTATAAACGCATTAAGCCTTCGTCAATTTGTTATTGTTGTTATGCAAAACTTGACTGTTATTTTAAAAAGCTGCTATAGATAAATGCTTTTATACTGCCTTTGCAGTCAATATACATTTTAGTAGTTTCCAAGTCTTTGCCTGAAAAACCAAGCTGTTCACTTCCAATGGAACTGTCCTATCTGCTTTGCAAATTTTTTGAACGTGAAGAATGGCTTTCTCAGATTTCGAGCATAAGCTGGAAGGTGAAGCGGTTGACCAGTTCAGTACTGCTTACTGAATAAGGCTAATCTAAAAAGCTGCAGTGAAATATTCTTCAGAACTGAACAAAAAAAGATTTTGACTTAACATCACATGACATTAGAAGTTGGAAATGTAACGCAAGAAAACCTGTCATTTGATACCTGCGTTTCAGTGTTCAAATAGAATTCGTCGATTCTATCGACAGTAGGAAGTATCGTGGAGGAAGACAACATCTTGTCAGACCTTTGATCTTTTTGAATGAATTACAGACTTTTTTATTCCTAATTTCATTCAAATTTTAAACCGTAGAGCGGGTTTTAATTCTGTTCAGCTACAGATTTCAGTAGCCTGCATCAGAAGCCAAAAACCGACGTGAAGTGAAATCGGCTGGGACTTCATGTGTTTTAGGCTGGATTAACAAAAATTGTTAGGCCTAACGTAGCAATTACTTGAGCAAACACTATACGATAAACGTAACTTTTCTGAACCACTACAAAGCCACGCCCAATTATGTCACACCTCGTTGCAAGGTTGATCTTTTTCTACACACCCTGAGAGAATAAGTTGGAAAAATTCTTGTCGACACCAGTAGATCTAATTGCGATAACTGTGAAAGAGTGTTTTCTTCCTTTTTCTTGCCACCAAAAGAATTCTCAAAAGAAATTCGAAGTTCCCTGATACAATATAAGAGCTATTCAGGTTTCAATTACGTAGCCAGGTTTCAGTTCTCCCGAAGGTTTTCATGACATCATAAAGATAGATCAAAGCAAACAGTTGTTTAAGATTTGAGATGATAGACATTAAATCAGAGCTGTTCCGGTCATCTCCTACTCCTTTATCTTAAAATGCTGAGACTATGCAACGACGCAGCGCAGCAATAATCATGAGATGAACCCATCTCCGCAATGGGTTTATCTGAATCTTCATTCAAGATAATCGCCACTTATTAATGAATTAAAACTTACTGCAACAGAATGGCAATCGGAAAGAAAACTAGAAACCATGCATCTGCTACAATCTAAGAACAAAAGGGTAGCACTTCATTGAAAACGTAGAAATCTTATAAAAAGAGTGTCAGAATAGCCAAGGTATCCTTGCTTTTACCTAATGGGGCTAATGGCTTCTTTCATCCCATTATTTGCTTGCTTCACTCAAGCCATTTAAACTTGCGAAATTTTCAAATGCACCTGCTATTTAATCATCGATGTACAATTAAGCACAAAGTTAAACTCTATTGATCACATTGTATGCGTCACAAAGAAAAACAAAGTACAAAGAGAGGATATGATTGGAATTGAACACGTCGCTGGAAAGAAAAATGTGTTGAATGATGACAGGATGTTAGTAAAGTTCAGCGGTTGCTATATCTACGTTTGAATTCTAACGAGTAGAATGAATTAAAGAAGAAAAAGAGCTTCGATTTTGTTTAGATTCAATGAAACATGATTAGCGGTATTGACTTTTCAGTTTCAATGAAAGATTGCAAAACTTGAATTTCTATTTACTAATGAATTTGAAAGAACAATTGAATATGCAAGATTTGTCTCCACTTTAGCTGCTGTTCTTCTTGTAATATTGGATTAGGACTTTACATGAGGAAAAGATGGTCAAATACCGCAGTTTCGAGTCTCCTTTTGTATCCCTAAGTTTAAATAATGCTAGAGCTGCATCTTGTGGTCGAGCTGAGTTTGTGAAAACGACATTTTTCAGAAATTCCAGATTTTGGTCAGCAAAAATTTGGTTCTTTATTCATTACATTTCTTCCATTAATTTATGCATAAAGATCCTTTGTTGGCTCTTCAATCCCTTAATTAAACTACCAGACCATTTTTCTTCCACAATTTAGAACATTCATTCATCCACTGTTCAACAAGGTTCAAATGCATCAAATTTGCTGTGCAAATGCAACACAACATTAGCATTGTAGTTTTTCACCATTTCAAGTTGCTATATATATATATAATAACGTGATTTGATGAGAAATTGAGTGAAACATGATTAACACCTAAAGATTTGAATCCACTTTCCATAGAAATACATATCACAGTCAACTTGCTCATATCATCTTATAGGGCTAGTTAAAGAACCTTAGATAGATTGTTGACTTTTCCTAATCTAAAAATATGATTTTTAAAGTAAGCATTCAACATTTTCAAATTTTTGTACAGCTACATGTTGCTAGCTTTAGAAGCAAAACTTTATGCATTTGCTGTCAATTGTTATGCCGTTATGATGACAAAATCAAATGCCAAAATTGGTTTTAAATTCTGATTTTTTGCCCAAAGAAAAATAAAGGTGACAGAGAAACTCACTTTCCATTCAAACCACCATCCTAAAAATATACCTCAAAATATACTATACGTTCAATTAAACAAAAGATTATACATATACATACTGCAAAGATATACTTCAATTTTATTACTGTATATACTGTATCCTTGAATAAACAGATAGAAAAATAAGAATAAAGATGGTAAATAAAGTATACTGAGGCATTGCAGAAATGTTGAAAAATTAAATATGATAAATAATATAATACTCAACAATTGCATAGAAAAATTTGGGAAGACCATTGCATTACATGGGTCACAAAGAAGGTATTTATAGAGTTTCAAACATCTTGTGTGAATAAAGAATAGGACAAAAACAATAAACATTGTCTTGCTGCTGTTTATACAGAAGTCTTGTGTATCTTGCTAGGTCTTGTGCGTTTGGGAGGAAAATTCTTGTATAGAACCTAAAGGGCACACTATTGCTCTGTTTAATCGCATGATTGGTCTAACAAAACAAAACAATGTGTCACACTTCGACAATTTTTCTGTACACGAAAACCCACTTCACAAAGACAAAAATGAATTGTATCAGAAGGCCTTGTTTACAAGTATAGCAAAACAATGGTATTGGTTATCCAACAGAAAGCAATGTGTCACGCTTGCTGTACATGAAAAGCCAATAAGCAATGCAACAGTGAGCCTTCAAATCTTAGGGGAACTGCAGGCTCTCCTACAATCATAATTCCTCAACATATAAATAAAAGTGCTTCTAAAAACTATAAATAAATTGCAAAATGAGCAATAAGAAGCATAATACAATATATGAACAAAGATTTGTCATGATTTGGGCAAACAAATATTTGATAAATATTCTCTATTTCTAGAATTACAAAGGCTAGGTTTGCCATTGTAAACTGTTTTGCCTACTCAACTAGTTTTTTCATAACATTAAATGAACTAAAAAACATCCGAAGAAACAAACATAGCTTTTAAGGGAAGTTAGATATCATAGAACACTAAGATTGACTAAGAATATAGCTGTTTAAAACCAATATTGCTATAGAGACTAAACAAGAAAATGAAAGAAATGAAAATTTAGACCCCTGCGGAAATGGAAATTGAAACTTTTGATTTAACCACAGGTTTCTATTTAACACCCAAAATATATTACCACCTATTAACTTAGTGAAGTTAAAAACTCATTATGTGCTCACACTACTGATTTTAATCTTTCTACTCAAATGTTCCTTGCAAAGAATTGGTTTGTACTTTGCCGGATTTTCTTCTGAACAACAAGTCTCAAGTGCCTTGATTGTTGTATTTCTGTTTGGGCCAACAAATAAGACAATTGAGAGTCGAGGGCGGCTGCAATCTGTAGCAGGAGGATTGGCTACTCTGTGTACAACTGAACGCCAGCAATCATTGGTCCATCTTTGCATCAAATCTCCAGCATTAACTATAAATGAGCCTGCTATCCATTGCACTGGGATCCAGTTACCTTGCTTGCCTAACACCTCTAAGCCTCCTGGAGCATCATCTGACTTTACAATGGCAAAACAGGCATAATCTGTATGGGGTCCATACCTTAATTGTCCCGGGGCTGCCTGTTGTGTATCTTGAGCAGGGTAAAATGCAAGTCTCAATCTTTCATATGGCTCAGTGAAAAACTGCTCAAAGTGATCTTCATCTAGACCAAGAGCTAAAGCAGAGATGCGAAAAAGTCTGTGGTAAAATGTCTTCAGGCAATCCCAATACGCATAAAGGCTGCTACCGAAAGTGTTTGGACTTTCAGGCAGAGTATCAGGGATATCTTCATCGTCATATCCTCGCAGGAATTCCAGAGTTTCCACATAATCAGGAACAACATTTTGCTTTCCATTCTGCTCCGTGGTCTTTTGCAGCAAATTATCATTCTTGTTATAAATATTGGTTTTGCCTACGACTTCTTTTCCCAGGCCGACGTAACCGCCTTTTCCGTAACCATTTTTCAAATCGAGACATGATTTCTCTGCCAATGGTGCTGAAAAGAACGTCATAGAGTCACCATGGAAATTTTCACAGACTGTTTCTGGAACTCCATGTCCTGTAACTATAACGAAGCCAATCGATTGAAAGGCTTTTTTCCATTGATTTATGAGATCTTCTATAAGAGCTGCGTCGTGGGTTTTTTCATACTCAGTGAAAGCACTTATGTCCACGACTGGTATAGTTTCTTCCTCCATCATTGAATGAAGATTAGAGATCAGCTGGAATGAAGGTAGACGGCCAGAATTACAGACTAAGCAGCTGCTCTCAACCGTCAAACGAACAAAATGTTGAGGACCACCGGTTAACCGCACATTTCGCCCACAAAATATTCCTGGTATGTGCGATTCCAGATTTCTAGCGCAGTGACCACTTGCCTGCGTCACTTGTAATGTTTTTCTGAAAACATTTGTTGTGACGTTGCTAGAATTTTCTTCTGCATGCTGTCCATCATTGCCTGTTACCAGCACATCACCTGCAGCCTCCGTTGCAACAAGAGGCCGCCGTCACACATCGAAGTGTAACCATAGAAATGAGGGTAACTCTCGTCGGTTCCTTTGTTGTTTTTGAAGCCCGAGTCAACAATAGAATTCTTTAATTCCCCTTTAACCTCGATTTCATTAGACGAACTTAGCCATGACAAATTATCATTCATTAATCAGATATAAACGAATTATGATACATAATTGGATTTGTTCACTATCATGGGGCATTTCGTCTCAAATAAAGTTGTCTACTTTCATTTTTTTTTAAATATCCCCGACAGACACATGCCGCCGTGCTGGGGCTATGTGGTTCAAAAAAGGCACAAACAATCTTTGAGTATTTAAAGGGTATGGAGCTAAAAATATGTGTCAGAAGATAAATTTAATAGACATTTTCAACTGCTCTTCCGTAATTACATAGAAAACTAGAAAGAATCTATCCAGGGAAAAAGCAGCGGCGCCAGCAACTAGGCCATTGGACAAAACAAAAAATTTAGACCGCGCCCTTTTTACTGTCAGAAAACCTCCTTTTACCAACAGGGGACGCCAATTCCCCAATGGGGAACGCCCATGGCTAACTGTCGGTAATCAGGGGTGTAGTGCTAGGGGTGTGCAAGGGCTGAACCCCTAGTTTTTTATTGTTTATAAACTCAATAAAGAAACCAAGTTACCTAAATATAATTTGTCGTATTACACACGTGTTACGCAATGGAGGCGCCGTTACGTTGGAAGTGACCTTTGAATTGATCACGTTTTAATCATTTCATTTTCATGTGTTCGCTTGATGCTTGCTTTGCTGCTTATTTGGTAATTTTTAACAGTTCTGTTGATCTTTGATCCTTGTCTTAATGTTCATTGGTTAATTTTATGTGTATCGTCATTTTAGGACACTAATTGAACATTAGCTTAATCCGATTATACAGTCATATCTAGCATGCCAGCTTTAGAGTGGAGTCAGTCTTGAGGGGCCAGTACCCTGGGTACCAGACTCACTATATAAAATAATAGAGAGTCTGGTCTAGTGCGCCCCATTCTCGTTCTGGTGAACATACTTGAAAGAACTGAAGTCTATTTAACAGACTAGGCCCGTGAAACAAGACTGTCGGATAAATAACAAAGATACTCAGTAGTCGGAGGAGTTTTGGGAAATCTTAAAGCCAATGTATTTTATATAGTTCTGTAAAGTTGACATTATTAATACAGTGATAACAGACTTTTCTGCCTCAAGATTCCAATCAAATCAGGGGTAAAACGCCTTGGCAGCAAAAAGCATATGCGAAGCATGAAATTAAAGTTAGCACAATGCAGTTATTAAATGTTAATCATTGTTAAATTTCGCATACAACTTAAAATAAGACTTTTATAATTTTCCACATAAATTGTGTGTACTTTCAGTCTACTTCCTCACTGTGAAGGCAGCGCGCTTGGACACCGCGGCGGTTAGAATCATCACGTTGGAAATTCGCCACAGCAAATATGGCCAATATGACAAGCGAAGCCCCGTATGCCGGGGGAAATATTAGCCATAACTGATTTACTTGTGTTTGTTGTTGTTTGTTCTCGGCGCCTTGCGGTGTTTCTTATTTACTGCATTTCACTACAAGGCCTAATTTCTTTGCAATGAGAGGCTAATTTCTTTGCCTGAAATGTCAGAGACTTTCCAAAGCCAGGTGTCTTTTCTCTCTACAAACAAGGCTTTCAATGTTGTTCTGTGTTAAGTTCCACAACATGCGGAAAATATTCTTTGAGTACAGTTTTAACAGCATCTTCAAACTAAATCGTTACAGTCGCTAGCATTTATTTATGTTGTGTTCTGTTCAATGTTTTACACCAGAGCTAAGTTTATTGTTTCGCTGTGACCTTTGAACGTACAGAAATCTGTACACTCGCTCCTGATTGGTTAATATAAGCACACCAGAACGAGAATGGGGCGCACTAGACCAGACTCTCTATTTTATTTCATATATAGTGAGTCTGGTACCCAGGGTAGAGGGGCCAGCCGCTACGAGAGCAACTTTTATGGTGAAAGAGATTTGACGTTTTTGTCGAAGTAGAGGTCCAGAAACACTTGCCGTGCCCAAGGTTCATACTCAAGTCCAAGATCCTTCAAGCATCCGTTTTAAAGCTCGCAAAGATAATCTCAAGGTCGTGAGTTACCTTACTTATTATATTTTAGTAATTTAGTGGTTTAATCTCTTGATGTTACTGGTCTTTTACCGAAGAACTCGCAGTTCTTTAGCCTTTTTCTGCTAGATTAAGCAAAAAGGTTAACATTGGTGCCCCGTGTGAGGAGAAAATAAAAAAAGAAGAAAATATAACATATCTCGTAGGAATAATCGACGTTGATATTTTTGTATATATACTCGTTAGGAAGACGTGAACATTGGCCTTGGAGTTTTTCACAGTCGCAAGTTTCAAGATTCGATCTTTATTGAATTTCCGTTTATAGTGACAATCCTTTCACAGCATTGATCGATTTATTAGCTTTATGATTGACACATACACTTTGGTAATGACTACCCAGTTGCGAATTTAGATTGACAATCTTTGCTTTCACGGTCGTTGCTGTTTTAATCGCACTATTGAACTTTCCGTACTGTTTTCTTATCGTTGAAATTTTTGCATTAAAACTATGTCTGGAGATAAGCAGGCGACAGTCAACGAGTTGCAAAATCAAATGACAGTTGTACACGCTGCTTTGGAGGGTAAAGGGCAGGCAGGTCTCTTTAAACCCCGTTATTTTAGTGGTTTGCCCAGTGAAAATATACACGAATGGCTTCCTAAATTTGGTCAGTATGCAAAATTTTATGCCTGGACTAACGCCAAGAAAGTGGGGGCAATGACACTTCGTTTGGATGGCCCCGCCCAAGCATGGTTGCAGACCCAGTCCCCGGAAACAGCCAATAATTTCAATGCTCTGTGCGATGTGTTGAAAGAGCGTTTCGGTGCCAAAAACCTTTCATTCATTTTTCGGCAAGACCTTTAATCCCGTAAGCAACGCCCACACGAGCCTTTATCGAGCTATACAGAAGATAGCATTAAGAAGGCTAGACATTTCCGATAATGACATGATGAACATTTACATTAATGGTCTGGCTGACGACATAAAAATTCACGTGATACTGAACCATCCCGATTCGTTTGCAAAAGCAGAGAATTTAGCGCGCCTCTGTGAAGCAGTCATGACTAACGACTCGCTGACTACCGCCCGATCAAATATTCTGCAGGATCAGCGAATTAAGGAATTGGAGGGGCAAGTTGATTTACTTGTTTCATTGGCTTCAAAGTCAAAATCAGCTTCAAATAGCCAGTGTTCAAACGTTCATGCAGTTTCACCCAACCTTTCTGTTGAACAAGCTGTTGTAAAAGGGAACCAGCAGCCTGTAACAAGAAGTGAGCTGCTTGATTTTCAAAACAATGTTTTGGCAGCCCTTGATGCAAAATTTTCTTCGTTTAGCAACCAAAATGGCAGGTCCAAGTTTCCTCAGAAAGATAATCGTCATTTTTCACGTGGTCAAAATTTACGTACAACAGACGGCCAACCTATTTGCAATAATTGCCGCCGCGTGGGTCATGTGGCACGCTATTGTCGTTCGCAATCTTTCCAGGCTCAAAGCCAAAAGTTTTCCAGACCAAAACCGCAATCCCAGTCAAAGCATTTTGCCACTGGTATCGTTCATGAAAATTTAAACGGGTCAGGACCTTTCCAGTGGGGCAGTGAAGGTCCCTTCAAACAACTCTGGTGGAAACCCCAATTTATCTAATTTTGATAGGGATATTGACTTGCAGAAATGGACTGCACAGCGTAAACAGATGTCGAATATTTCTTGGGAAAAGGTAGACAATGCGATTAAAAAAAATGACACTGTTTCTTTTGGTGTTATTAACCCTGCATCAAAACATTCTACTGACGATAAAAATGTGGAATTAACTCAACAAATTCCTTCGATTTCGTTAACTAGCTACGATTTTCAATCAACACCATCAAACGTATTTATTTGAGGGGTCGTTGAAAAACAGTCATTTGAAGTTTTGGTTGATACTGGTGCGGCAATTACTGTTGTGAGCGAGAAATTTTATAATTAAATTCTACGCGCTCGGCATGCTTTAATTACGGAGGGAGGACTTGATAGTATTCGGACTGCTAATGGCAGCAGCGTTCCTGTTCGAGGGACTGTTAATTTCCCGTTGATTCTTGGACATAATTCTTATTCATGCAGTGCTTCAGTTGAAGTCAGTCTTTCATATGACATTGTTATTGGGAGAGATTTTCTACATGAATTTTCGGCCGTTATTGATGTTCGTGGAGAACTTGTCACATTTAAGGGATGCAATACCGTTCCATTTGCTCAGTCTTTTACGACTCCTGAGCCTCTTAAAGATCTATATATGCAGTTTAAATCTTTGCCTAGCCTTACACTAACAGTTGCAGAAAACGTTCAACTTGTTGAACTCTTGAAAAGTTATTCTGATATTTTTGCGTCCTCTTTAGATCTAGGACATACACAAATAATCAAACATGAAATAGACACTGGTGATGCTAGGCCTATTAAACAACAACCATACAGAGTCTCTAATACACAAAGAGCGGAAATTGGCCGTCACATTTCTATTATGCTTGAACAAAACATTATTAGTGTGTCAACAAGCCCTTGGATCTCTCCTGTAGTATTAGTTAAGAAGAAAGATGGTACCACTCCTTTTTGCGTGGACTATAGGAAGCTTAATGCTGTTACGCGTAAGGATAGTTATCCTCTGCTTCGTATTGATGATGCTCTGGACGCTCTCGCAGGCTCTCAATTCTTTTCAACGCTTGATCTTCAATCTGGTTATCACCAGGTTGCTATGCATCCAAATTCTAAGGAGAAAACTGTCTTTATATCTCATTCAGGGTTATACGAATTCAATGTCCTTAGTTTTGGGCTAACAAAACTCCACCTAATTTTCAGCGCTTGGTGGGTAAAGTCTTACACGGACTTGATTAAAAGATATGTCTTATCTATATCGACGAT